AGTTTACATTGTTCTCATTCCCATATCGGGCTCGTTTCTCTTCTTATTCCTTGCTGGATACTTCATTGTTACAGCCTTCCGTGCGTATTTCCGTTCAGTACAAGAGTTGAAGGCAAAGTTACAGAATATCAGCTTTGACAACACCAGATGTTCATGCTGTGATCTTGGGCATGTGCAAGGAGGAATCCCCATGTTGTGTGACAGGCAAATCGTTAAGGAATGTGTGTCGATCTGGTTTGGCAGTCAAGAGGCCTTTGAAGACTATGTACGATCAGCCGTTCTGCAGACAGTGGTTGCAGGATTGCAGGAAAATATATTCACAAGAGGGTGGAGCCTCTCAGTGTCAGTTCCCCTGCTTTGGACCTTCCTGGATTTGCTCGTGTCCCATGTAGCAGGAGGCAACATTAGTTTTGCCATCACTCTCTTCATTGAAGGCTTGGTGCTTTGGCTCTTTTGTCTTCCGTTGTTTGGGGATGTGTGTATATTCCTTACGTGCCGGTATTGCCAACGAGGCACTTCCACTTTTCGTGAGATTTTAGAAAACCTGAAGGTGGAGCTGATGGTCGTTTGTTGCTTTTCTGCCATGGTTGGCTCCTGGGTTCTTCTTTGCTCACCACGTCCTGCTCATGAACGTCCTCTTGGTACAGCAGCGTTTGCAGGAGTGTGGGGCGCACTGGCATTGTCTCAATTCGCATACACATGTTTCCAAAAAGCCCAAAAATGGGCTTGGACCTCGATTTCGTAACAGACACGACACATGATGTTTTGCATATTCCCGTGGTTTGAGTGGTTGCAGAAGGTTTTCCTGTCGTCTCTCGTTCGAAGGACCGAAATGTTTAAGCCAATCCTTTCGGATCTCAAACGAACCCAACCGAGGTCGGACCCCGACTGAGCTTTTCACCGAAGAAAAACACCGAGCTCGTTCGAGACGGAGGGCGTGGTTTTGGGTCTACCGTCGTACCGAACCTGAGAAGGTATGACTGGACCCGACCCTGGCACCCGGGCCCCGGTCGTCCCACCGAACCGATGCGGTTCGGTACGACTGGAGGCCTAGGGCTACCCATGGTCCAGGTACCTCCTGAGGATGGTCTTGAAGGTGAAAGTACTTCCAGAGAATGGTCGAACGGGGGTCAAAGGACATCCTCAGGATGCTCCTGGACCCTTAGGGCTAGTAACAAGGTTCGCTACGAACGGGGCTGCTGGCCTTAACGCGACGTTTCCGGGGCTGGCATCGCTGCGAACGGAGCATTCTTACTACCGGCCCCAGAGGTCCCAAAACCGGTTGGTTTGGGGCGGGAGCGAGCCGAACACCGACTATACGACATACGACCCACTGTGAGGGAGCCCGTGGCCCAGGCCGTGGAATCATGGAAAAAGACCGCGGTGCTTCACATGGAACAAAAACGGTTTTTGGATGTTTTTGGCTAGGGAAAAGCAGGTGATCAGACCTGTGGGAGCCCAAGAAGTCGTGGACCATGGAGAACAGATGCAAGACAGGACGGTCCTTGGCCACGAGCATGGTCTTCAAAGGCCACCAGCAATTCTGCGACTCTCCAAAGTACTCAAGCATGCAGCATGACTGCTAACCCAAAAAGCTGTGATAATTGATTGAAGACTGTCAGGTATCTTTCATTCACATGGACGTTTCGACCAATTTGGCCAAGTGGAACCACTCTTCCTTCGCCTTTCTGTCCTCCCAATCCGTGGGCCATGGCAGGGTTCGGACGTCCACTGGCAACGGGGGCACCAACCTGGTCCACCGAACCCCGATGTGTTGCGCAGACGGGGCACGATGTGTTCGGCCCGGGCAGAGGGGCCCGGATGACGGGGCAGTTCGGCCTTGGGCCTTGGAAGACCTTGGGAGTGGATACGTTTTTCCTGCTGGTCGAGGGAAGCAGGGTGTGTTCAGCCAGTATGACATGCACGAAGTGCAGGGTGGACTGCCTCCCCGGCTCTTTGTTTGCCGCGTGGCCAGTGAAGGAATCTACTGTAAATGAACACATCTATACATAATAAGTACGACAAGATACGACAAGTAATTACATGCAATTACAAGTTATACAGCAAGAATCTATATACCAGGAGTCACATGTCGGGGTGGTGTTTAGTTCCATCCAGTGAGTGGATGTTCTGGGCACCCTTAACCTCCAAGGATCGCACCCCGTCTTGTGACTGCTGGGTATATATAATGGCCATGGGCTGCTCAGGTTTCTCGTTCTAGTCACCCCGACAGCCTGACCCCGACGTGGAGCCAACGGAGAAGACTTGCAAGTTCCATACGCAAAACCTGTCGGTGGCCTGATAGAGAGACGCCATCTATTCCGGGTTTAGTTGAGGGAGTCATCAATGTTTAACGTGTCACAGTGTTTGCAATTAACTCCTAAACCCTACACCTCCGTGTTCGTACCTCCTCAGAAGGTATTTGGACACTCCAAGCCCACCCCAAACACCTTCTCAGAAAGTACTTGGAGGCCTAGGGAAAATTATCTTGACCATACCCTTCAGAGACTTAAAATTGAGGTCCCTTCTCGGACGCGACCAGCAGCCAGCCAGCATGAATTGGAGAATCTTGCACCACTGTTCACGCCAACCACATCCAACACCCGCCTATGGTTCGTATGGTTTCCCCCTGAAGCGAACGCAGCCTGCGAAAAACGACATCAACGCATGCTGCATGCCATGGAACGGAATGGACAGCTGCTCCTCGCTGTCCGTTGGATTCGACTGGCTTGGTGGCTTCTGATGCTTCTGGCCTTGAACGCCTCTTGGACGCCGCGGTGCCTTTTGGACGCTGGACAGGCATCTTTTTGGAGGACAGCCATTCCGGAACCAGGCCGCAGCGCTGCTGAAGTGGTACTCCTGCAACTGACCGCTTTGCAAGAGAATGATCCTGAGACAGATGATGGGATTCCATGACTTCGACATCAAAGCTTTTTTGAGACAATTTCGACTTTTCCCTAAGGGCCTAAGGGTACCTCCTCAGGATGTCCGGCAAGCTCCAGTTCGGCCTTTCTTTACGAGTACTCACTCAGCTGCGAAGCCATCCGAAAAGGAGGTACCTGGACCCTATGGGTTTGTATAGAATCTAACATAGCCGGGAAAGTCAGGGAATACACGGGAATATCCACATGATCCTACATGCCTTATATTGGTTGGTGACCGAGTGCAATCGAAAACAAACAGGACGTGGGAATTGTTTCACGGGAAGAGAGTCTTGTGTGTTGTGTCCACCTGGATCCTCCTTGGAACATGGGACGTACCCATTTTCCGATGTTTTTTTTGTTGAAACTCGGATCCGGGCAGAGCGTTCATTTTTCGTAACTCGAAGGATTGCAAAGACCTTCGAGTTTGCCAGCAACCGCAACAAGGCCTTCACCGGCCCATTACCCCGCTTTGCTCAAATGATCCACATTGGCTACCCAGTGCTCCTGAACGCGCAAAACTTCACCCTGCTTTCGGCACTGCAGCTGGGTCCTACGGAGTACGTGGTTCGAGTCGAAATCTGTGGACGTCTTCGGATGGGCAACGAGAGGATCGTTCCCTGGAGCACTTTCAGAGAATTCTTTCGAGTTCAACCCCTAAGGGTCCAGGACCATCAGAATCGGATGTCCTGAAAGACCCCCCGGGAACGACCATTCTCTGGTTTCGTACGTACTCACCTCCGTTCGACCATCCGAAGTACGGAGGTACCTGTACCTTGTGGGAACCTGCAACCCCGGGATGAGAAAGAACCCACGGACTCATAAGATGCTTTGTTCTACCCAGACACAACACAGACGGACTGGTACTAACTTAGTACTAACCGATCAGGCCGGGGGTGGCTGGTTCCGGGGTCAATTGATCGGCATATGACAGTCCCATGGAGCGTTTGGCTTCTGTTTCGAAAACAAACCGCCCATATGGGCACAGTATCACAGGTCTTCCTCTGGCGCCTGTCGGATTCTGGAGACGGTACCGGGTGGAGGACCGATGCCGTGATGCCTGATGAGAGCGAAGGTCGTTGAGGAAAAAGGAGCGAGGAGCCAGTCCGACGTCGAGGTGTCTGACGAGCCACGTTAGTTTCTATGCCCTAGGGATCCAGTCGTGCCGAACCTCAGAAGGTGGGACTGGGGTGGGTGCCCTGGTCGGGTCCAGGTGCCTTCTGAGAGGGTGCTTGGATCCCTAGGGATGACGATTGATGTATGATGCATGACGTGTCGTGCTTTGTTTTTTTTGACGGAACCACACTCCGGACTGTATGATCTGCCCCATGGGTGATGAACGACCGAGGGGTCACATGGGTGGTGTTTGCCTAGGCTTCATCTCTATACCCTGCAGAGCTCTCCGCCATGAACTCACCCGAGATGGTCTCCAGACCTCGTAAGAACGTAGGGTTTTGCAGCTGAAAGTATGTGTTCAGCACTCGAACGGTCGGTCGAACTGGAGCCTGGCAGGACCTCCTGAGGAGGTACCTGGGGGTATAGGCCCTACTGGGGGGTAGGCCTGGCCCAGTACCCAGGTGGATAGAGGTCGACCAACCGGCAAGTGTCGGGACCTGGGAGGGAAGTGGATGACTCTCCTAGGACCGAGATCATCCATTGTGAGTGGGTGAATTTCAAACCCAGACGCGACCCAAGACCGGCCCCGAATCCTCTGGAGGGGTCGGACCGTCAGGTGAAGGGGTCGGGGGAGACCCATTTTGAGGGGTCGGGGTCGGGACCAGTTGGGCTGCTTTCAGCGTCTGGGAAGCACAAAAATCCCATGGTGCGAAGCCAATGTTTGCTGCTCGTGAGCAATTGTATGGCCAGAATCTGTCCGTGTTGATTGCACTTTGGCCACCGGGTAGTCAGCTTCTCCATCACTTCTTAGACTTCCCGAGTTCCGGGGCTTTGAGCCGCTTCTCCACCCGATCCGAGTCGTTTCGCTCGTTTCGCTCGAGTCGTTTCGCTCGTTGCTCTCGGCTCCGTTTGCTTCGACCATCGCTGCAGCTGACCGTCCTCCCGAGAATCTGGTCACGCCAGGCGGACACCCGAAGCTTGGTTGTGGTGCTGACCAGCGAACTTCTACATCGCCGCGCGGAGGGGTCGTCGAGGATCTCCGAGTTCAGAGGTGGTCGTGGATGGAGGACCTGGCAGGTCATACGCGATCGCACTCACTCCTGAAGCATTCTGATGAGCTATCCCTACTCTTAAGAAAAAGAGATGAGAAATCTTCAGAAAAAAATCAACGATCCAGATGTCCTGGGAGAAATGCAAACAGCGGGGTCACCTCCAAAAACACAACTGCCTCATGGATCTCCGACCATGACACCAGTTCAGAAGGTCCAGGCAAGAGTTGTTGTACTTCGGGCCGAGGTCGTCATCATGAGTCATGGCATGTGCCATCTTCAGTCAGTGGTCCCGCAATGGCGTCAAGCGGTAGTCCTGTTTGATCCAATACAGTCAAGCGGTCGGTCCTTGGACTTGATATTCTACTCTCAGAATCCGGGCCCCTCAAGGACAGGTTTTGAGAGCCACCCCTGTGAAGGCGTCGGGTCCGAAGCGCTATTGAGGGTGGTGGGACCGGTCGTGTTGTCTTTTTTCACCAAAGAAACGGCACTAAGTGAGCCTGTGTAGCTGAATGTACAGACATAATAAGGCAGAAAAGATCACTGATGAGGGTGCTGGGGCTCATGCCAATTGCAAAGCCCCTCACGCCCGTCCTAGTAGCGGCCTTCGCTACAACCCCCCCGGCCGCGGCCCACGGGGCGGGGCGCCCGTCACAGTGCGAGGGAGATCGCCACGGTCTGAGGTATGTGGTGTGCTGGGGAGATCGCCACGGCGCACAAGCACCAGATTCCCATCATCCCCCTGTGCGCAGTTTGGTTCGAGTGAGATGGATCAGTTCAACGTACGAACGGTCGAGCTGCACTGAGAAGTATGCGCGGCATTGAGATGGTGAAAACCACGAACATGCCAGTTTACGCAAATCGGATTTGTTTCAAGCGTGTTGAGAGATATAGTCTTAAAGTCGCCAACCAGTCGCGAACCACCAGTCGAGATTTTGATCCAGATGTGCGAATTTGTATGGGCAACCATCAACGACACGTTGACATTCCTCCTTGGAACCACCCCCTGGATGTTTTCACTAAGGGATTCATTGCAGCTCCAGGTACTGCGATGACTTCGGCTTTCCGGATGCTTCCTGCATTGCCACCATGGAATCCGTGTGGAGCGAGGAGCAACGAGGGACACTGGTGTCCCATGGGATTTCCATGGAAGACATCAAGGACGGGGAGTGAAAAGCGATGAAACACGCTTTTCGTGTGTAGGCCGTACGCCGGAGAAGTCTAAAGGCTTAACATATAGTTTCCCTTTCAGGAACAAATAGTTGAATATGATTGAGGCATTTATCCTGAATGACAAACATGATACAACATGGAAATATTATGAACATATTAATACATAATAACAGAGGGAATGTACAGAGAGATATTTGCGTGCTGTCAAGACTTGATCCACCATAGCTCCAGGTGGGTTTTGACTCAAGTTGTTTTGTCGGGTGACTCTGTTCATATTCAGAATCCCTAGGCTCCTGTCCCATATCCTCAGGTTCGGTGGGCACATCCTCCTGGCACGGAGGAGGCAGCCAGGAGCCCAAAGTAGCGTCCTTGCTCCTAGTAGCGATGCCATTAGCCCCTAGTAGCGAACATTGTTCCTAGTAGCGATGCCCTTTGCTCCTAGTAGCCTCTACCCCCCCCAAAGCTATGCAGGTTGTCCCACTTGTTTCACCCTTTCGAGTCGTCACCAAGCAGGATACGAATCCCATCGAATCCCTCATCCTATTGAGATCTGAGTACCAAAGACTATAATGGAATTGTTGTTTAAACAATAAGACAACCTGATGTTAAAGGGAACTTTCTTCTAACCACCGTTTTACTAAGGATTTTACACTACAACACCAGATCAACCAGTTTAAACATGGTGCTTAAGGGACTTCAGTCTTTCGACTTTTAAGACAAGCTCCACCGCCAGGCAGCCTATCGCTCCCTGCGCACGCTGCCGGGCGTGGATTTGAAGCGTCGCTGGTCTTTGGAAGCGCAAGAGGACGCCGTGTTGCAGGTCCTCACCGCCGTTTACGCGCCTCGGAAAAGAGAATGTGGGAGGAAGGATGGAGTTTTGGATTCCAAAGATACACGATCTGAACATGTAGTAGATGAAATCAATATAATATCCAGCAGTCACAAAGGGGTGCCTATTGGAGGATAGTGGTGCCCATTATCCACTCACTTGGGGACCAAACACCACCCCTTTGTGACTCCTGGATAAGTCAATTAACTGATATGTGTTCTTTTGTTCAAATTCCAGCTGAGAAGGACATCCTGCGAACCAGCCCAGCCCAGCTTCCATCCCAGCTTCTTCCTCAACAGGCCACCTGAATCGCCACCTGAACCGTCCTACTAACGGCGATGTGGACCCAAGCGAACGCTATACACGGCTATACCCAGCCTTCAGTTCGACCACAAAAGCATTGGAACGACCTGGTTTTGTAGTGTAAACTCCTTGGTGGTTCTTCGGTCACCATCACCGGTCCGTGCCTGGCGCGCACCTTCCCGGTGAAACTCGCGCTTCCCAGGAGCGCGGTCCTCGGGTGGAAGTGGCGACAGCACCCAGCGTGAAGAGCGCCAAGGTGCCATGGCACTGGGAGCTGCGAACTCACCGGAGTGGCTTGCCAGGTACGGTGGATTGAGAGTAGATGGCACAAACCCGATGTTTTTTATACGCTTTTATATAGGCCGGGGTCCATATAAAGCACCAAACTTGGAGATTGTGCCATCTACTCTCAATCCACTTGTAGTCTATGCTGTTCATTTTGGGTGGGAAGAATGACCGTCGGGACCTGCCATGACCCACTGCCAGGTAGTCTGTGCTGACCTGGTCACGGGTGGGGATGGACTCTGCGTGGTGGAAGAAAGGGGGAAAGGATTGGAGAGTCGGAGTTGGGGGTTGGAAGGGTCAGAATCAGCCCAGTGGGGTCCTTCAATCGGGCCTGTTGCTGGGGAGAGACAGCTGGGATGTAGGAGATAGCTTGGGTCAGGAGGAGAAGGGTCAGGAGTATGCAGATAAATTAGCTTGGCTGAAGCTTGGTTTGGGTCAGGAGCACGCAGATGATGTGACATGCAGATGGTATTTTGGAGCCAGTTCTCTACAGAGGTGTTTTGGCATATATTCCAATCTGTTGATCTGGGAATCATACTAGGGCTCTCAAGTTGCCAAGAATCATGATCACCAAGCATGACTTCATCAATGCTGGCCAACCAAAAGCTGTGTTTGGATCCCTTCTCAGAGGTACTTGAACCCTCCTGGCACCTACATCTCTCAGTATCTCCAATCACCTGACAAGGTACGACTGGATCCCTAGGGAAGTGGAACCCCCCTCAATGTCTTGGTGGTGTCTCGGAGATGGCACACTGTTGTACATGTCACATGACACTGATGCAGGTCTTGGTCTGTGTGACGGAAGAAGCAGAGGCGATCTCTGCTGGGTTCATCCTGCAGCAGATGGCTCCTTGGAAGTCTGTCACCATAGGTGCAAGATGGTGAGCATATGGTCGGTCTTGATCGGGCACAGATTCCCCCATTTCTGTGTGCTTCAGGCTTCATGATCCAGATTGGAGGCCTATAGTATACGTAGTATAGTTCAGACCATATACTTATAAGGTCTTCTTCAGTTTTAGGAGCCCTAAACTTGGGGCTCCTAAGCCATATCCTGGTTCGACCCACCTGGCACTGGATCTACAACTAACATCCCGCTCCGGAGGTCGGAGGTCGTGGGAGGTCGCTTCAGCCACCCGCAGACGGTCGCATGTCGAGGTCGCAGACGGTGACGGACGGTGATGGACGTCGGGACGATTTGTCCTGCACCCCAGCAGGGAACCAACGAAGTCCAGCTACCAGCAGCACCCAAGATCTGGTGGGAAGAACCACTGCTATTGGACGGAAAAAACAACACTGCTAAGCGGAATAACCATTTCTGGTGGGAATAAGTCACTGCTGTTGGATGGAACATATACATCTTCATCGGGGGGGTTCCTTCATAACCACCCGAACTGGGTGGTGCTGGGTATGCAGCAGTAGGAGCACTGAGTGGCCACAAGGTCACAAGGTGGGGACACCTCTAAGCCTGTGGCTTCAGCCCGGATAGACCGAGCAAATTCCTGTTGTTTTGTTTTCAACAATTTAAGGTCACTTGAGGGACAGCAAGAGGTCACTTGAGGGACTCCAAGATCAGTTCGGAGAAGCTGGCTGAAACTCAGATACTAGGCCCCTTCTACAAGGGGTGTCTATATTTTAATAGCTCCTTACAGGTTTTAAGGGGTGTCCATGAACCACCCCTTCTCAAGGCGGTCGAGATTCACTGACCGTATATGGGAGTTATCCAAAAGGTCCTTGTAAGGGTTTTTAATGTCGAGAGCCTTGGATGACATGATCGTGGGTCTCGCGAAAGTATTTGTTCGAGTTCGCGAATGTTAATGTTTTTTTTTCGCGAAAGATTCGCGAAAGTATGTTTTTTTCAGCAGCTTCAACTTTGGAATCCGTGTGAAGCTTCCTTCCTGTTTCATGTAGTCCACCCTATGTTATGTATGCCGTAAAAACCTCCAAAGCACAGGGATTATTTCGCCAAAGTTTCGCGAAAGTCTGGCGAAGGTTTCGGCGAATGAATCGGCTCCAGAGGAACCCCGTAGCCCATAGCAACCCCACAAACTTCATCATCCAACGTCCTTGTGCAAATGCTTTCTCTAACAACATGTGCCAACGAAATTCTGCTCCAACACCACTTTCCTGTCTGTAGCATCCTCCTGCTGAACCAAAAACACTCCGTGCACTTGTATTTAGAAATCGAGTCCCTACCAGGTTAAATGGTTTCATGACATGGTGAACCCCCGCGAAAGAAAAACACAGGGTTCGCGAAAGTTTCGCGAATGTTAATGTTCTTTTTTCGCGAAGAATGGCCGTTTCAATAAACAAGAATATTGGACAACCACCATATCTCGACCGACCACGTACGTTTTCTCCGAGTCCATGGGTGTTTCCTTTGTCTGCCCCGACGACGACGAGTTCGTCGAATGCGCCCTCCGTGCCGAGGTTCAAACCAAACTACAGCCCCTGGGAGCGTGGAGCGTCGACGGCGGGGCCGAACGGCGATACCCACGGCCGGCGGCCGGCGTGAGCGAGCGAGCTCGTCAGCGGCCGTGTGTTCGAGCGCCGGTTTTTGGTTGGTACCTCGGAACATGGGGACAGATCTATATCAATATGGACAGATCTATATAGTATATATCAATGTTGCTTGTTCGGGTCATGTCCCATTTTCTAAGGTACTTTGGAGAGTCCAGGTATATGTCTATTGGATCCTATCGGATCCTATTGAATGGAGGGTAATTACCATATACTGGTGTTCTTCTAGCAAATCCAAGAGTCCTTCCGCGGTCCACAATCATGCTTGCCTCGACATCAGGTTGAACCTGTCGATTCACTCGATTTAGCAACTGGACACGTCCATTCCTGGAACTTCCTCAGAGTGTTTTTTGTTGATCTGCCGCATGAACAACATCTTTTGGAGTCGATGCTTCTCTATAGTTTTCTATATACCTAGAAGCACCTGGGGCAGAAATTTCTGCCTCAGTCCGATTTGCCCGGGAGGATTCGCGGATTTAGGGGAAATCCGCGCCAGGTAGGAATTTCCGCGGGCAGCAGGGAATTTTTGCCTCAAGCAAAATCCAACATAGCAACTCAAAAACCATTACAACCTACCAGGTTGTCTCTTCCATGATTGCAGACCACATATCGTTCTGCATAGCTTCACATCTCAAGATCTGACACCCTACGCTTTTGACACTTCTAAATTCATGACATTCCCCTTCAAAGGCATCAAAGGCACTGTTCTTGAATCCCGCCTTCTACCAGGAAATTTCCGCCGGTTTCCCGTGTATTTCCGCCGTTTTCCCGGGTATTTCCGCCTCTTTCCCGGGTATTTCTGCCTTTTTCCCGGGCATTTTCGCGCCAGGTGTTTTCAACTTTGGACTGATTTTAGCCCTTTTGTGATCATTCCGCACAAGAAACCTTCAAAAACAAAGACACATAATATATGATATGGTGGTAGCCAGATTTGCAGGTGGAGGTGGAAACTTAAGCGCTGCAAATGTTTTTTTCTCATTGCGGTGACCGTTCCAGGCAGAAATGCCCAATGTAAACCACAAAAATATTCAACTCCTCTAGAATATGTAGTCTTTGTCTCACTGGATTCCTGAAAGGGAATATTCGCGGCAACAAAAACATTTCCGCGGCAAACAGCTGATTTCCGCCCCAGGACGGGAAGAGCCGCTCTTCCCGAAAAAGGCAAGAATTTCTGCCCAAAGGATCTTCTAGGTATGTTTTAATGATATTCCATGGGCGATTATATACACAAGCTGCGGGCGTTTTTTTTTGGTGAGCCACAGTGCGTTCTTTTTTGTTTTGCGTTCCGAACATGTTTTTCCTACAGACCGAGCAACAATTACGAGGTCTATCGTTGAATGAACTACCGAGCCCAAAAAGCCCAATTACGAGGGCAACAACGATAGCCCTCTCCCATGGGCGCTCGCGACGCCGAGTTGCGCGAGTTGGTGGAACAAAGTCGGGTCTTGGCCCCGAGGACCGTGACCTTTTTGGCACGCACCCCGGAAGATGTCTTTGATCCTCGGTGTGAGTGAAGGGTCCGGGGGTCCCATGGGGGTCCCGTTCGACTCGAGGCGACTCGATGGCGGAGGGTGGATCCAGGTGGATCTAGGTGGATCGGACCTATAGAGTTCTAAGGGATCCAGTCGGACCGAACCTCAGGTACGGTGAGGAAGGAGGCACTGAGACATGAGACGGTGCCAAAACATCGGGTCGTGCGGAGGATACCGAACCTGAGGTGAAGGAAGGTACGACTGGAGATCCCGGAACCCGAAACCCTTTGGGAGTCTGGTGGTTTTGGGGAGTCTCCCGAATCAGCGCTATCAGCGAGGCCATGACTCGTAGGTGAACGTCCGAACTGACCTGTAGCAGGACCCGTAGCTGCAGCTTAAGCTATCATCATGTTGGAACTGTCGGCCTGCCTAACCATCATCATCCACTGGGCCCATGGTAATAGACCCAAAGGCTAACCATCATTGGACCTTCCGAACTGGAGGGTGGACCCGAACCAAACCTTCACCGGCTGGGGGGTCGATTTTGAGGGGAAGCTATTTCTAGGCCCTAGGGATCCAGTCGTACCTTCTCAGGTTAGGTGATTGGAGACACTCTTTTGAGGGTCCAAGTACTCAGAAGGTACTTGGATCCCTAGGGAGGCAGGGTCAGGGAGGTGTTTTTTGGTTCGTGCAGGTCCCAACAAAAGGCGAGGGCCTCGCCCACTCTGGTAGAGGTGGCATCATCGGATCAGTCATGATCAGTCGGATCTGGCTTCTTCCCCGATCAGGAGAGTGCTTCCTTTGCCCTCGTGATCTTGAGTAAGGGCATCCTCGAGGCGAGACCGAAGAAGCCGTACGCACTCCCGTGGACGGGTCTAGCAATGCGACGCGACCGCAGCTTCATTCGAGTACGATTCGCTGCTTCTTGGGGTTTGAGATGGTCTGGTTCCTGCTGCTGCTGATTCGGTTCCGTTTCGGTCCGACCCAGATCATGTTCAACCTGACCTCTTCACAGAAGCTTGGACCCGAAGCATTCTTTTTGGGGGGGTTTTGCTTCGGGTTTTGGGCTTCAGAAGGCTCCTTTTGTGGGGGAACTAATGGTGACGATCTCGTTCTGCAACACGGACCGGCACGCCGTGGGGAAAATGCGGCCGACGCTTCCAGTGGGCCAACCAGTGGGGCCTGGCAGTACACGACGTGAAAAGCATGGGGCCGAGTGGCGCTCGCACACCCATCCTGTGGAGAGGACTGTGGCTTTGCGCAGATCTTACTGGCCATTCGTGCCTGGGAGAGATTAGACGGGTCTTCGGTCTCCGAACGTGGGATCGTGGGATTCGTCCAGTGTCCAGAGGATTTGGAAGGATTTGCGAAGGTGCAACCATCAACTCGATTCTTTTTGACATTTGGTTGTTATTTTTTTTAAATAGTTTGACCATGTTTGACAAGTTTGACCTACATCATGAGTAAACTTTGGAGTGCATGACAGATCCCTTTTTGGACGTTTTGGGCTCCTGGCCCACCACCTTTCGGCACCTCATCGACCGTCACCCCTGCGCTCGCACCGATCCCCCCGGGCCCCTCTCGAGGGTGGTTTGTACCCGGTACCCTGGAGCAATCACCGGCGGTCCAAGCATCATGACTGGCAGTGCCAGAGGTTTTTCGGCCTTTTCCCTTGACAGAGACCTCCAGAAAGGTTTCAAGTGGTTGATGTTTCGTTGGGTTCCTGGAACCCCATGACTCCGGCTTTGAGAGGAAAGGAACTTATTAGGGGTGGTTGGTCTATAGGGTGGTCCAAAAGAGAGAGGTCAATCAGGTTCTATGGGTTTGCAGTGCTTCTTGTTTTCAGAGGGTTCTCAGAAACAGTTCAACTTTGAGGAGGGCTGTCTTCGCGACCAGCGGCCCCATCTCTCAGATAGACACATCCATTGAGATGTTCATCCACTCACGGCTCTCCTATAAGGATTCTCTGTGATTTTTTCCTTACTCCTTGAAGGTCACATACTGAATGAAGACGCTGACACATGTGTTTTAAACATGATCTTTCTCGGTACAGAAATCAGAGCTGCCAAGTTTGGAGCCATTCGACTTGTTGAGAATTGGAGTCCAACATTTAAGGTGCGTAGATTGGATGGGTTGCATCGACTTCCAACAAGGGCAACCCTTCTCTGTTCCTCTCTGGGTTTCTAGTCCGGTGATGTCTATACTCGTAGGGACCAGAATCATATATAGCCAATCAAGATGATACCAACTTGAGCTTGCTTGCAGGATATCTACTGCAACAACGAACCAATAAAAGCTGCCAAGACCCTTTAAGTAATCAAAAAGGATTAAATACAAAGTACTAGTGCAAGTACCTGCAGTTCTGAAGCAAATTGCAGTACTCCTGGACCCCCCAGTCGGGGTGGTGAAGGGGCACCCCTTGACCTGTTTTCAGGGCGAATTCATGGACTGACACCCTTTCCTGCGCTCTTTCGCAAAATCAACTCTACCTCCAGGTCTGTGTTCCAGCTCCCGAGCTGCTTCAGGAAGGGCCTCGGTGGCGCTGGTCCCCGTGAACGATGGCAGCTTCGACTTTCCGGGCCTCGAATTCTACCAGCAGGCCGTGCCGGTCACGCGCGGACGCCGGCGCGGTGGGCGGTGTCCTGTGGCGGACGCCGCGGGTCAACGCCGTGAGGTTGTTCGGCGGAAACATAGACCCGCTGGAAGGGCGGAAGGGCTGAAAGGGGTTTGGGCCGGGGCGTTTGCGCTCCTGGCCCATAATGTCTCCCGTCTTCGAATTTCCCGGCAGCTTAACCATCCCTAACCACCTTCACCGACAGGTAGGCCAGCCCTTTCGCTGAGACCGAAGTGCTGACCGAAATCACCGCAGAGCTCTGCGGACCGCCGCGTCGGTCGCAGGTGCAGGAGGGGAACCTGGTGATACCAGGCCTTGCTCCCAATCAGGGGCCACCCCTTGCGCGCGCCTTTCAGGCCGATTGGACCGTTTCGGCGTTTCGGCCAGGACGGGAGGACGGGAGGCTGAGGATGCCATGACGGGATGTAGTGGTGGCAAGGGAAACGAGTCTCGAACGGTACGACTGAACCCGACACTGGCACCGGCACCTATAGCAGTATCTCCAAACATCTTCTCAGAGGGTGGCAGTGGATTCCTAGGGATTGTGTTTCTTGGGGTGGAGTATGCAGATGGATGAAGAGTTCGGATGGGAGAACAAGTTAGAGGCAGCAAGTGCATTGCAAAGCCATGCAGGTGCAAGGTTGAAAGATGATGTTGAAGGAAGTAGCCTGCTCGTATGGTTGTATTGTTTTGTGGTTTTGGCGGTGCGATCTAAAAATCACTGGTTGTCAAGAGGGCTGGAGTCGAAAAGATCCAGATACCAGCAGAACATTGCAATGACGGTGATTTTGGAAGAAGGGTTTGATCACAATAGTTTCATTGCAGACTTTGATTTTCAGTTGAGCCAAGATATCCGTTTGAGAGGTATATCAATGCTCCCTTGCCACACTATGCCACACTCCCTAGGCCTCCAAGTACCTTCTGAACAGGTGTTTGGGGTGGGTTTGGAGGGTCCAACTACTCTCTCAGCTTTTCTTGGCTGCCACATCCAAAACCAAAGACTCCGGAGACAGGCTGTCTCTCTCCCATGAGGGCCAACCTTAAGTCACTCTCGATGTGCCATTCCGAGAGTGGGCGTTTTTCCGCTGGTCTTCCTCCGAGTGGTTGCCGCCATCGGTCAAAGAACGCCACCCACTGGCTTAGCATTCCCACCGGTCACCGCCAGATTCGGCTTCGCATGGCTCAGCAGCGTCCGCCGTCCACCGTGTGAAGTCTACGCTTCGACGACCGCATATGTTGTTGTGATTGAGTCATGTTTGGGGTCTGTCTTAATACCTGTAACAGTCAATAACAGTAAACAATGATCACGTTTTCTTCTTTTGAAAGGCCTTTACTAAACTTTACTGAACCATCATAATCCACTGTTACTGGTAATAGGATAGCCGGAAGCGGACGTGAATGAGTGTTTTTGGAGGCGCTGCTGAGCATTTTGGCGTTGCCCATGACGCCACATGCCTCCATTGGCATCCTGGAAAGGCGCTGCTGGTTTGGCAAAGCAGCACTTATAGAAGAAGGTCATGACACGTGCAGAATCTGTGCAGTGTACCGGCTTCATATAGGATCATGTCTCATTTTCGAGAGTACAAGCTGCAAGGTCCGGGAGCATCGTTTAGATCATCCAACGCCAGATATGTTTGGTGCTTCTTGTTTGGTGAGATCCTGTTGTCATGGTAAGGCAGTTGAATATTCTTGGTCTCTAGACTCTAGACCCTTAAGCTGGTTGAAGATGCAACAATATGCAACATATATCAACATATATATTGTTTACGGTCGATTGTTGTGGATCAAGACCTTTAAACGGTATTGAAAAAAGAACACATTCAACAAACTGTTTCAAGTTGACTGATGCAAGTCAGTCCCCAAGTCCATGTAAACACCATTCAAGAACCTGCTTCAAGTTGACGTGCCCCAAGTCCCCAAATTCCCCTAGGGATCCAGTCGTACCTTCTCAGGTACGGTGATTGGAGGCACTGTTATGTAGGTGCCAATTACCTTCTGACAAGATACTTGCTGAGAAGGTACTTGGATCCGCATTCATTCTTGTTCATTTGGGGTGATCCACCGGTTCACACACGTTCACACTCGGCATCGCCGGGGTTTGAAAGGCAAGTCGACCAGATTTGTCAGCGCTTTGGGAACTGGGACGATGTCGTGGAGAGGCCGGGGCGTTGTTTCGTGCGGCGTGGCGATGAACACGCGCAACTGGAGGGACGGTGTTTGGTTCTTCCCGTTTCAGGGCAGGGTTGCTTTCCGTTTTGGTTGGAGATCGAGCTATAGCCAGACGCTCCATGTCTGCCATAGGACTGCCGAGAAACGGCCAGGGGTGGTGCCAGGGGGGTCTTTCTGGGGCGGCATATGACAGACATGGGTCGTGTCTGGCTATAGCTAGCTGCTTTGTTTGGCAGATCTTGTAGGACCCTCCTGGCACCCACCCCAGTCTCACCTTCTTAGAGGTACGACTGGACCCCCTAGGGGCTATGGCACTCAAACAGATCCGATCCGAAAACGGGACCACCGGACTACTGGACATCGCTTGAAGTCAGTCTGGCGCCGGGCGGTATGAACTCCTCAGGTCGAATCGAACGCTCGCGCGGCTCGCGTCGGGGTGCCCTGTTGTGGAGATATCCAGCCAGACCCCGAACGGAAGCAGCTGGTAGCGGTTCTTGTTCCCAACCTGGGCATGGTGACAGGTCCTCGATTTGTTGGCGAACTGGTCTTCCAACCATTGAAAACAGAACAAAACCCACATCTTCCAATTTCGGGAGACATGGTGCCAGGAAGATTCCATTCTTTCTTGTTTCCGAACTGGATCCAAAGTTGGTGCCCCCCCCGTGTCCATGTGTTTCTTGTTTTTCCCGATTGGTGGCCAAGCATCCAAGCATTCCAACGCCTCATGGCATGCCCTCTAAAGCCAAGGGCCCTTTTCACCACTTCTCCCGCCTGGGTGAACACCCAGTCCACCGTGGACCGCTTCACCGTGGGGGGAAGAACGGCAGGTCGTCGTCGGTGAAGTCGAGCTCCCGGCGTCCGATGAGCGAGTTGGAGGACGCCATGGAGGAGGAGATGAAGGAGATCGGCGGTTGTCAGCCTGGCGAGATCATGACGATTTTGTTCAAGCAATGACTCTAATGGGATCTGAGCAGAGGATTTTAGAGACCAAGTCGTGAGATCTGATTGAAAGAAGATTCTCAGATTTAGATCTTCTGGTTGTCTCCGCGACCAAAAATACAAATGAGATCATAGGAGGTCTGAAAATCTGAGAATGAAGTTCAAACAAAAAGAACCAATCGAGGTCTGAGAATTAAGAATGAAACCATTTTGATGTAAGTTAATTAGATATATGATCTGAGTAGATCTAAGTCAAGAACCTATATATAATAGACCCATCCTCCAAATGAGTGAGCCCGCCAAGATCGGAAAAGGATCGCCCGGATCGGACCAAAGCCCCCCCCCCAGACATGGGCGATATGGTGAACCTAAACCCCTCGGATTTCCCAGAGAGGTATCCAGTGACCGGAACTAGGACCTATCACCTGGGGTACCGAACTGGGATAGTCGAACGACATCGGCTTCTGACCCACCTTTGTTGGTTTCGGGTTCCAAAGCGATTCGGATCGGGTTGTAAAACCACCCGAACAAAGAAAGACCGGTGAGAGCCTTGTGACGTGAGATCTGCGCTGTGTAAGAGCTCGGGTCGACGTCGACCCGCGCTTTCTCTCCAGGTTATAGGAGGAGCAGGCTGTTGAGCAGTCAAGGAGAAGACCAGTCAGCCAGAGAGGTGCACAGGGAGGTTTCTTGGCGGCGCAGGCTGCGAAACTGCTTGCAGCCTGGGAGGAGGAGGGTCAAACCCTGGTAGTGCCCACTGCGATCTGGTGCTTGCTGTTGCTGTCCAGCAGTTCTAACAACCATCGCCTGAGAGGTGGTGAAATATAAACAGGTCCCACTGGGGCCGGGGTCTGCGGTACTTAGGCAAATGCATGAGGGGGACCTAATTCTGCTGGTCCATCCGTCATCCTGGTCGATCTGGGCCTTCCCATTTTCCATCGACCGCTCCAACTGCGAAGGAGCTCGACGTGGTACCTCGCGAGTCCAGCACCATGGACGTCTGACAGAGCGGCTCGATCGTCTCGTCGCCGCGGCGCGAGTCGTCACGCCGGAGGGAGCAGACGGTCGGAGTGGTTAGCCCAGGGGGGTCCAAGGACCATGGTTATAGGAACATAATTGTGAACATGGTTTTGGGGGGTAAACGTAAACTATGAAAGAATCTCAGGAAAGACCGCGTATAAATAATTTTTATTATAGCTTGTTAGTTAATGTCGGGTCTTAAATAGTAAAAAGAACACCCCCGCCTCCTAGCAAACAATCGAGGGAGTCTGAATAGAATCCCACACCCAAAAGAAGTAGTAGTAGCAGCAGCAGCTGCAGCAGTGGTAGGTAGTCGTTCTAGTTAAGCAATGAGTTTTTAAGGGCACCAATAGCAGAATAATAGAATTCAATAATTGTTTAAAAGAACCCTGGGTGAAAGAACTGTTTCTTATTCCCTCCCATTAAACTTTTCAGGGTCTGCGAATAATTTGGCGATTTGTTTTTACTACTCCGACATTCATACGTTGTTTTTTCATCATGGTTTCTTTTTGTTTAAACTTGTTTCTGAATGGTAGGTTGTTGCTAACAGTCCCCACCTTCAAAGGCTCAGGCTCAGACAGAGGTTTAATGGACGGTCCATTTTCTAAGATACTGATCTAGACTTTTGAAGTGTTTCTTTTGTTCCTACAAGTGTTCTTCCCTGAGAGGATGTTGAACCAAGCATGCAAAAATTTGGGCAAACTCCAAGCTGACCCTAATCAACTGTGCTTTAGAAAAGGAAAACAAATCACTCGTACCGCTGTTGCAAGCGCTGACAAACCACTCACTGGCGCAGTTTCTTGAAAAAAAAACGCATATTAAATGGGTTTCAACTGTTTTATATAAACCCCCTTGGATCTTGGGGGGATCGCCCTCGACCTTTTCTGCGGTGATGGTCTTCCAAAGGAACGACCGAGCTTCGGACGTCGTGAGACGCCGTGCTTCGTTCACCGCTGAACTTTGCTTCGTCGCTTCGTCGACGAGTTCGTCGAAACCCGGGGGGGGGGAGGCGGAGCCATCGGAGCATCGGGCGCCTAGGGTGGGGATGCCCATGTAGCGACGATGCCCATCGGAGCGCCGAAGTAAAGGAGATTCCTTGATGGCACAGTCATTGTTGTTCAAGGAGCATCAGTTTAACATGTATCCACTTCCATGAAAAGGCCAAACTGCCTGTCTTTAAGCATTTTTAAGCATCTTTGGTGAACGGCCCGACCCTTTGGTGAACACCTCACCCTCCCGGATGCGAGCTGATGGCCAGTCCGGTCGCCCGAGAAAACACAGCCAGTCCGGGAGCTTGAAGCAAACTGAAGGACTCCAAGAGGTTAAGTGACCTGAAAATGGACCCTACTATACCCTATACTGGAGTCCTGGAGTACTCTATATGGGATAGCCTCTATAATAGATAATAGGGTTCCTCAACCTTTGTTGGTTTTCCTGTATTGGTGAAGAAACAACAGCTGATCGCTCACTTTGGAGCCCTCCCCAAAAAAGCGTACGCGCGTCTAACGTGCGCATTCCAGCAGCACCCGACTTCACAGGTCTTCACACGTTGCGATGTTCGGAGTCTATACATGCAAAAGCCTCCATGTCGGAGACCTGTAGAGTCAGGTGCTAAAGATGGTAGCAAACCCATTAGTGTCAAAGACAATGGAATCCGTGGACACAACCTCAAACGAAACGCACGGGGGGAAGACGGACCCGAAGGCAAAAAGCTTTTTGGTTGGAGAGCAGGGACTCTGGATTCTATACCCTAAGGGTCCAGGACCATCCGTTGCTCGGATGTCCTGAAAGACCCCCCAACGACCATTCTCTGGAAGTACGTACTCACCTCCGTTCGACCATCCGAAGTACGGAGGTACCTGGACCCTATGGGATAGTACTATAGGGTATAATGTTGGATCACGATTAGTAAAGGGTACCTCTATAATGCTAAATTTTTCCAAAATTATTCAGACCCCCCTGTTTGAAAAATGGTACCTCTATAATGCTAAAAAAAATTTGGGCCCTAAATTTTTATATTGGAAACCCAATATATCAGGGATTGAATTCGTGATGATTATGATTCATTAGCTGATATAGCTTTCTCTAGGCTTCTTCAAAACTGACAGCTGACCAAAACACCAGTTCCCCAATTAAACCCTTTATAAAACATTGCTCCTAAACAAATTGGATAATGAATACTACAATCAATTACAAAAGATCCCTCACCAGGAATCCAGATTTGTTTGGTGATAGTTTATTATAGAGGGACCCCTATTTGTTTGAGGGGGGGGGGGACCCCCCTTTACTAATCAGGATCCAACATTAGAAAGCCTTGAAGACGTTGAAAACTGATCCTGAAACCTGACGTCCTCGATCTCGGGATCAAGTTTACCGAAACTCTGAAGCAGGGTCTTCCCCCTTCATCCCCCTTCGATAGGGCCATAGAGGACCTGAATGGTCCCCAGCCGAGTTGGACCGGGAGGTCATCCTGGGACGAGCTGCGAGGGAGAGAATCATGGGCCAACGTGGATGGCATGGCCCCAGCCATGGCCCCTTCCTTGAAGACAACAAGAGTCGTCTCCTTGTCCAACAGGGAGCCAGCAGTCCACGTTGGTGAAAAAAGCTTTGGGCGATCCCATGATATCCAAAACCTCAGTGGATCCAAGTCATGCTAAGATTGAACATTCACCCATTCCCAAAGTGGATGATCCAAAGATATCCAAAGTATAGAAAGAAGAAGTCCAGTTCGACCAGGTTTTGGGATGACCAGTTCGCCAAAGGAAATGCCTTTCCAATTCCATCCAAAACCCCAGCCTGGGTGCTGGTTGGATCCCTAGCCTTCGACCATTCAAAGAGTTCGCTGAACCTGCTTTTATTCTAAAATCCTCTATCATAAACTATAAAACAAATGCATGGTGTGTTGTTTTTTCCCATTTCTGACAGCTCTCCCAGGAAAGGTTGAATTTGTTCCCTCAACTTCTCCCAGCGTCGTTTCTTGAAACCGTTTTTCGGCTCGAAACGGCGGAACCCTGGCGGCCAGACATGGCTCGAAACGCGGAGAATGACGCCAATGACCGCTTTTGGAGTCACTGTCATGTCTGGTGGATGGTTGCAGGATCATGATCCGTCCCAAAACGAAGGCCCAAGTGACTGATGAAGCGCATGAAGCACAAGTGACTGGGAAGCGTCCCAAAAATCATTCCCATGAAGCACAAGTGACGGCGTAGCTGGACGCGACACGACTCGGCGTCGCTGCAACCGCAACAAAATGGCGAAGCGCAGCTTGCAACGACGTCCGGCGCTGTTGCGCCGCGTGCGGCTGAGCTGCAATGACGGCCGAGCGGTCGTGAGAGGAGTGACGTGGACAGTGGAGGTCATGAGGAACGCTTTGTTGTTGAGGCCTAGTAGCTTCTCTACATTGACTCACACATGTATAGGAGGGGTAAGAGGGACTTGGAGTATTGAAAGAGTACTTTGGACCTTAAGAACAGCCCTGTTTATAGAATTTATATGAAATTATTAATCTATATGTTTGAGATGATCGGCGGGACTAGAAATCATCCATGCAGGTCTCCAAATACCTCAGAAAGGACCAAACGACCCTCCAACCCCCTCCGCAAGCAATTTTGAAAAGGGAGCTGGTTGGAGCATGTTAGAGGATGACTAGGGAATTCTTCCAAACGCTTATATAAAGATACTCCGATTGGTTAGGATTGGCCAGTCTTAAGGTAATTCTGCCAAGTCCAGTTAGTACCTGCAGTCTCCAAACGTATCATCATTTCTCATTGGGACATGATCCGGAAAGCCGAATAAGAACCATAAAAAAAACAAAAGAACAGGTATGACCTGACGTCGTGCCCATTTTCTGAGGCCAAAGAAGGACAGTCGACAGGTCGGTTTTCTGAACAGCCCTGAGGGCTCCGGTTGCAGGTCAGCTTCTCCCTCGGGTTGCCCCACGGGTCCCATGAAAAACCGGGTCTTTCCGGTGAATCTCACGGGGGGCTGCTGGTAGTTACACTGAACAAGAGTTGAACATGTGAACGGTCGGAAAGCAACGGAGGTGATAGACAGGCGGTTCAAAGGGTGAAGATTGATTGGTCAGGCAAGCACAGACAAGCTGCACAAGTGATTCATTTTTCAGGAGTCAGGGAAAGCGAAGCAGAGACGGTTTTCTGACTGAGAAGCAGAGACCAGCATAGACCAGCTGCAATCCACGAGCAGAGCCCAGACGATCCATGGTGGGCGCATAAAATTGCCCTATATATGACTGGTGTTTTGGTTGGTGAATGTAGGTCAATATTTACGGCCATCATGGGTTCCATGAATTGTTCATTGTCTTCATTTCTGAAGTCTGACTTGCTCTTCACTAGGTCCACTTCTACTGTTGGAGCAAGACGTTTTTTCTCCCCCTCCCCTCCTCCTCCTCCTCCTCCTCCTCCTACTCCTTGTGATTGTGTAGGTGTCCAGTGTAGTTTGGCTGATCATTTGTTGGTTTAAGCTATCGGTTTTTTACAACCCATTTGCTTGGAATGAGAACTTCACCCACTGACTCACGCTCTTTCCGTGCAGAATGTATCTTGTTTCATAAAAATCATTAAACAACAAACAAACCAGAAACAAGCCAACTCAATGCTCCAACCCTTCGCCCACCCCGCCATAGCTTCCATTCGCCATTCCTATGCAGCTCGCTCGCCCTGGCGAGGTGCGGCTTGGCGTCGGTGGCTTGCGGCGTGGCCTTCGTAGGCGGGCAAAGGGGCGAAAGGGGCTCCTTCGGCCCGTGCGAAGAGGGGTGAGAATGAAGACTAAGACGTGGACAAGTGGACTTTGCTAAGATGTGTCATGACATAGATTGCAATCACCTGTTACCAGCTTCAGTTTGTGAACTTTGTTCCTCCCCAGTTATGACCTGTTACAGGCCTTTGTTGTGACCAAACCCAGGTGATCAAGTACGGTCCCGAACTGAAGAACCAGTCGTCGCGAAGTCGTGAGGATCCGTCGGCCCCCGTGGCGCATGGAGCATGGAGAAGGTGGTCGTAGACGCCCGTGTTTCACGAAGGTGGTTGTGGATCGCTAATGTATTGAAGCGACATCGTATGTCTGTGGACCGATTAGAGCATGAAACGTTTGATGTTGACATATGGTGACGTTGATGCGGCCCAAAAAATTCAGACGGGAAAGTCTGGAAGCTGTCCACACCATTCAGACCCGTTTCCAGTCAGACCAGCGTTTTTGAAGGCCATGTGTCCTCAAATTTGAGGTACTTTGGAGTCTCAAAGTAATTACCTCAGAAAATGGGACATGACCCCATAAAAACAGGTACGACCGTACCCATTTTCCGAGGTACTTTGAGACTCCAGGTACTTTGGAGGGATTTGGAGGGTCTTGTAGGCATTCAGAAGGAACCCCATGGGCGCCCTGCTTTGGAAGCAGAACACTGTGAACACTGCGTTCGCAGCGTGGTTTGCAGGTGGCTATGGTCGTTCCGCACGGCAGGCCTTGGTGGTGAGGGTTTCAACCGAGAACCGGGGCAGCACTTGACTGGCCTGAAAACATGGCAAACCATCGATCCATGAATCCAAAGACGCATGCTGAGAAGGTGGGTCGTACCCTCCAGGATACTCCAAAGAGCATGTGTTCTATGCTTTTTCTTCCCGGTGATCTGAAGACTTCTTAGTTGTAGGGCTCCCACCATGGTGGGGACTGGGGTGGGTTGTCCCGGAGGTCATGGGTCGGGAGCATAGTGAAGCCTAAACGGGTACATGAACAACTGGGTATAGCCTTGTACCTCCACGACGTCGGGGAGAGAACGGAAGGTTAAGTTACTTGAGGGATGAATGGATCATGGTTTAGATAGATCTATGCATACTCCTACAAGTAGGAACAGTCGGACCTGTTTGAATAGGGTCATCTTCCATGCTCAGTCGGGTGCTGGGTCAGTTGGGTCCACGTCGCGCCATGAAGTTCACGAGCCGGGCCGAGCATGATCAAATAGGCCTGTTGTCTCGTAACAACATTGTTTTTTTCACCCTAGGATTCCTGGCCCACCATTATTT